AGAAAATCGTCCTCTATATCACAAGTATGATAGATATATCTGCTTTAGTATCGTTTTTAGGTCAAAATCAATTTAATCCTTTTAATTCCCATAGTTTTATGGCTTAAAACAGCTTAATTGCTCTTTTATTTCGAAATCTCTTTATTTCGGCAGCCGTTTTGCCTTTTTTACATAGTTTTTGATCTGACGGCTAGCCTTTTTCAAAATTCCTGCTAGCCGTCAATTGACGGCTATTTTTGACGGCTAGCGGGAAACAACCCTGAAAAATTTGATGTGCAATTAGTTTTTACATTCGTTTTTCTATTTGGCAGAGTGATAACCAGTCGAGACTTGTAGTTGAGTCTCTATCTCATCATTCGCAGCTTTAATAATGACGCTATCTGCCCGTAAACATTTTTATTGGTTGAGCAGACTGCACGGATACGAGTGATTCTGGTTAATTTGGTATCGTTTCAGTGAAGTTAATGGCCTCAAGCCGTTCTCCCTCTAAGCTTAATGAAACTCTTTCAAATTTTATATACATATTCTACGGTATCATGCCTATATCCACCGCTAATATCTTTCATATTCATAACCGTTGACATACAGTAAACATAATCATATGTTTTTTGTCGTTATTTTCATGGTGACTCTCACGTGTTCTCTTTCGTAAAATTATTTTTTCTTCAGTCTTTTGCTGTAGAATTACATAGTTTTTTTTGTTTCTTATAGCATTTTGTTGGCTTATTCATTTACACTTTTCACTTGCTTCGTTTTTATAGACATTAATTCACTATAAGTGTGATTTTGGGTGTAGATAGTTGAGGAAAAAAAGGAACAAGTAGAATTACTTTATAAGAGAGAAATTTAATAAATGCCACTAAATGTCCCGTCACTAGAGATCTGTACGGGCACGGGCAGGCTTGAGAAAGACATGTACGGGCAACTGTTCCCGTCGATGGGTACGGATTTTTAAAAAAAACATTTTAAAGTTTTTGAGTAGCAAAATGGTGCGAAGATTTGAATTTTTGAATTGAAAATTTTTTTTCTGCACGGGTAGGGAAAAAAATCCACGGACAGGCACCCTCAATAGGGCTACGGGCACAGGCAAAAATATCTTGCCCGCGCAGATCTCTACCCGTCACCATTGTTTTTTTGTAACTTCATAATAGATTGCTTAAATGAATCTAAATTTTTAGTATAATGATAAAGGTTTTAAAATATGGAGCATCTAATGGTATGCATGCTTTGCTTAGTTTAAAGAAGGATTTTCTGGGAAACGTAGTTTTCCAGAAAACTAGTCACATTTTGTGATGGATTTTGGACTCCAGATAAATAAATCTAGCTTCTCTTAAGGTACTCAACATATTTTTATAGATAGTAAGGTTTTTCTCAGTAACATAATCAAGCATCCGATAGTTTCTATGAAGAAAAAAGCTATGGGCGTGAGACATGTATGACGCTAGAACGAGTGTTTTCTAAATTCAGGGAAACAAAGAAATGATTATTTCCAGAGCCATGTTTTCTAACACTAGTAAGCACCTAGTATCAATTTTTGGTAACGAAATCTTCGAGCATTTACTTTTTTCTGCGATCAAGTTTTAAAAAGAAACGGAGGTTCCAAATTAACCGGAATCACTCATACTTATGTAGTAACCAAATCATATGATTACCGTATGGTGGGAAACATAATAATAATAGGAAATCAAAATGTTGTCTAAGGCTACGTTCACACTACAAAGTTTTCAGAGTTAACTCTGAGTTAACGTCGAGACCGTTCACATCTAAATCTTTAATACATCAACAAGATTTTGACATTTCCCCTGAAATTGTGTTGCTTCCTGGTTTCAGTACTTCCAAAGGTCGCGGCTTGCTAACAGCCGGCCGACTTGAATTTACGCTCTACAGTTGCCTTACCGAAAAATTGAGTAGAGAGTCATATGTTTGTTTCCCCATAGAGATAGTTACCTCCCTTGTCTAATGGAACCACATTATTGTTTACTGAGCTCATTTATGACTGGATAGTTAAAATTACATGATGTCCGAAACATCATTTAATTCAGAGTTAACTTTCTGATCAATCAGCTTCGTTTTAGCACATTTAACTTTTGTAATGTGAACGGAGCCCAAGAAAAAGAGATATAGTATGAGTCTCACTAAACTAAGTAGTACTGTTTTTGTGGGATTGAGTTATATGTACAGCAAGATGCATATTATATATCTATATATTTTAAGTCCTATTATTCCTAAAAGGATTTTTTCGCTTTAGCTCATCAATTTAAAGCATCTGTACTGAATTTGTACGTCTCTTAATGTATAATAGACCCATCACATATACAGAATATTCTGTCCTATCGTTTTTTTGTCTATGTCTGTTTTAGATGCATTATGATTCTTGGTTTGATCATGAATGTGTTCAATCTTCAAAATTGTTATCAAATATTCAGCAATCACCGCAAATGCCCTGCGTGACACAACCACCATCGTCATTACTCTCATTTCCTTCAAGATCTAAACGAAAGCAACAGTCTTCAGTATTAAAATTAAGTGATGTCGCAAATTCAAAATTTAAGCCTAATGACCTGCAACGTAATGGATTCTCATTACAAAAATCCTCAACACCAGAATTTCTGCTCAAACCATTATCCTCTGGACTTCCACTAAGAAGAGAAAATGGTTTATCTGTTCCACAAACTACTTCAGCAACATCAACTTTATCGATTAACGTGTTAAAAAATCATTGTGCAGTGATCAATTGCAGAAGCCAGTACTCCGATAAACAGAAACACTTTTATTTTGTTCCTTTTCCATCGAGTACTCCTGAACTAGAAAAACTCATACGACATATGAAAATAAATAGTGAACGACTCCATGATGAATCAACAGGTGTTTATATCTGTTCAAGACATCGCTACCCACTTTATTTACATACTCATCGGAAGCCTGGAGCACCTGTGTAAGTATTTATTTTGTCACCTGATCCAGTCTATTTATTTTGTCTTTTTCTATTCAGAATGCCCTCAAACACTCTTGGTATTAAAAATGGTATTGATCATGTTTTATTTTTACCGAAACCGTGGCATACGTTGTGCTGTATGAATGGATGTATAAACAATGATTTAGTACATCGTTTATCGTCAGCAACATTTGTCCGAGTTCCAAGAGTTCCTGTAATTCAACGTAATGCATTTTTATGTTTGATTGGAAATACCAATATTGATCAGGACGAATTCTTAGTGTGCGACAAACATTTTCCAATGTCAATGAGACATAATAATGTGCTTACATCTTTAGCTGTACCAAAAAGATGTATCAGTCAAATAAATCAAAAGTCAGTCGCCAGTAAACTTGAACACACATCACCAAGAACAATACCAATGTCACCCTCTTTCGAGCAACAACGATACATTAAAGATAAAACAAACACTCGAAAAGTAAAAAGAGCAAACACGATACATTGCAAGTTTTATTTTTCTGAACTGATTTTAGTCATTTTTCTCTAAATCTATGCATTCTCTCACCTATGAACGTGAATTTTACACATCCAACTGAATGCTTTCGTATCGTATTTATTTATTTATTTAGTCATTTTTATCTTTAGAAATTATCTGAATGGGCATCATTAAAAAATACTCGTTCAACTGCACGAAATATAGATCCACTAACAGTTGCAGTCGTTAATTATACCCATCCATATGATTCCGTCGTTACTTCTGCTGAGTCTGGTATTGCTCAAAACTGTTCCTTATCATCATCATCATCAGTATCAACAAGTAGTATGCCATTTAACTCTACGGTATTGACAGCTCATCAAGCACAGTCTTCAACACCTAGATTTATATTGTCATCAAGAAAACACTGCCAAGTTAATCGTTCAATAGCAACAACGCAAAAACAAGAAACATTTCTACCTCTTTCACCTACTTCACCTACATCATCTCGTTGTATGCTTCTGCTTCCAGCTCAAATGCAACCATCATCGATTGAATCTAAATCTACTCAACATCAAAATAATACTAATGATAATATTAGAAATACAACATATTCATTGACGCCCTCCCTCATTTATCCGATGCAAAAAAGACTACGTACAATTCGACCGAATTTCACGCAAGTGTCACCACCGCTAACAACAGACGTGTTGGTGAATAGTAATAATAATAATAGTTTGTCATTTCCATCAAATAGTATAGTAGAAAATTTACGTACAAGAGTCGATAGAAAACGGGCTCATACTGGTCAACAAGTAAAAAACTCATGTCTCTATTCACGACCATTAGTTGCGAACATTGATGTAAATCAATCAGATGAAATAACGACGTTGATACCATTGAACCGCACTACTCCTTTTTCTCATCAATTATTAAAAACAAATTCAGGCGATCAGATATCAGCACGAGTTAAAAGTAAACGTCAACGATTTCCCAAACGAACTAACATAACGTCATCAGATAATGAATACAGTGAAGTAACAGGAAGTGATCATCGAGAACAACCAACACAAAGATTACTGTCAGTATCATTGAATCATTATCAATCTGTTGATGCAATTAATAGCCTCACGTTACCAGAAAAAAGTTACTATGAAATAGAGGCAAACAAGAATGGTGAACAACTAGAAGTGAATTTGCCTTATCAGGGTAAGTAGTCGAAGTTATTATCGTTTTTGCAATTGTCCTCTCCATAAGTTATCGCTAAGCCATTAAAAACAGATGTATAACCTATGGAAGCGTATTTTGAACTATAAGCAACATTCTTAGTTATATCAACGATTAATTTTTATCTTCTTGTATATTTTGTTGTGTTATTTAGTTTAGTAAGTAATTTTCTCTAGTTTAATCTATATTTATTAGTCAGCTGAAATAAACATCACAGATAGTCGTAATTTTCTCTACTTGCAGGAGACACTAAGAATTTATCGAAATCTTATCTATTAGAAGAAAAAATCAATAAATTCAAGAGCAAAATAGGTTATCGTAGATACAAAATGAAATTAAAACGTCTAAAATCAAATTGTGATTTAATACGAAATAATCGAAAAATTCAACGAAGAAAAGCACTTCAATATAAACTGTTATTCGATATAAGTCCACTTCCTATGGAGCAAGCAATATTCGAAAAGACCATTATGATTACATATAACAGCAACAATGATTTTATTAATTCACGATGGCTCAATTCAAACTATCTCGAACTAAGTGAAGATTATTTATCTAAAATGAAATTTGCCTCGATTTATCATCAGAAAATGATTCTGTCCGATTCAGACTTTCATTTATTATTAATAAATCTGTATTATCCAAATATAGACAAACAAACAGATTTATTACCATCATTAGAAATAAAAGGTGTTTTATGTAAATTATGTCGACGAAATTTTGATATGGTTGAAACTTATAATATTCATTTAGCAAGAAAGAGTGTCATCATTCAATATTTTTGCTTGGCGTGTAATACAAATATATGTACTTTAAATCCTTGTCAAGCATATAATCATTTAAGTTGTCATATTGGATTGCAAGATTTAAGAATTAAAGAATTAAAATTTAAGCAACTACAGTTTGAAACAAAACAATACTTTACTCAATTGAAAACAAATGATGATGATGACGATGATGACAATGAAAATGAGATGTCAGTACCATCTTGGAAAAATAATATATCTGGACAAAAGGTTAGTTATCAGTAAATAAATGTAAAATTTTGAGAAGTAATATGACTACCGAAATATGTCAAAACTACATCACTGCTGAAAACGTTTTCTTATCGTAAAGTATTCTAATACAAGTTTTTCGTCTGAGAAAAAATTTGATATTTTTCCATTGTTTTAGAACATCGATGATCGTTATACTGATGTTAAAATTCCAATGAGAATAATTTCTGAGAATGATATTCAATTAACAATATCTGAAGAGCAAGCGATACATAACATACCTAATAAAACCATCCATCGAACATGTATGTTATTTAAATGACATTTTGGTAGTTGGAATGCAGGATCGTATGTTTTCTACTCATAAGCAAAAGTAACAATTTCAAGAGAAAGAAGCCAACACTTCAACCATTTTGAGTAATAATTCATAATATGCAAGTTAGAGTTTATTGATTTGATCGAGTATAATTGCCATATACGACGTCATGACATGTATTTTTTGCAAAAAAAAGAAAACTATATGCCAGTGAAATATTTATTAATACTGTCGATTATTAATTAAATCCGATCGTTTAAAGTTTAATATAATCTGTCGTTTTGAGTATATTTTATTAGGTTTTATGAGTTTTGTTTCTTTCTGACAAATGCATACGTCTATTTTTGCTACAATATCAAATATTTTTGAGTTTGTATGTTATTCTTTTGCACACTTTTTTTTGTTGTATCATATGTAATTGTGTGAAAGTTAACTTATTGATTTTTGACTTCTTTTATTTTTGTATACAAACGCTATCATTTTTTTCGTGTTTCATACGTAAAACTTTCTAGTTTTGAAGAGAAAAATTTTTGACTTTAAAAATACCAAAAAATTGTTGATACTAACTAATCTACAAAAAAAAAACAATTTCACTGCTTAAAATCAGTGTCGCACTGCCAGTACGCATGCTATGCCATGCCATCGGTCACTGGCACTGGGTGGTATCAGTGTCTAAACAAGTGTCGCACCAGTGGCGATTAGCATCGGTGCCTTACTGAAATGTTTTTTGCAAGATTGATTGTCTTAATTTTGCAGAGTGTGGCACTGGTGAATACCAGTATCACATTGCCATGCCATAACTGTATAGCACTGGGGTTGACACTTCTTTTACGAGAAAGAAAAAATGAAATTAAAAAGACATTTGAAACATTGCTAGTATCTGTAGTGTTTATATACACAAACATTGATAAAACAAAATGATAATTGGAAAAAAATCTTTGGTATCAGTGCACGATCAGTAATAAAAACTTTTTTGTAGGATATTCATTGAAGTTGTTCTCTTGAATTCGCATTCGATTTAGCGATACGATCATACTGACTTAAAGCAATGTTGTATTGAGCTATTTACAATACAATTACGGCATATCCTAATTTTCAGGTGTTTGTTCAATTATTTTACTTGTTTACCAAGACAAAACTAAATATTGTGAATTTGATGATTACTGATAAATTTTGTTCTTTGCATCCATCATCGTTGTCGTTGATCTAGTGTAAGTATTTGCTTTATATATCATTTCAGCTGATTTCAAACGATAAATTGGTTCATTTCTTGAATATGAAGCTTGTTGTGGTGATTTTTGTCTATACAAAATTGAGCATTGTTGAACGGGTTGTTGATGGCAAAAAGCTGAGAATTTATTTGTATTTTGCTTTTTTGATGTATGATGATTAAAAAATAATTTTCGTTTTTCAGTTGAAATAGGTTGAATGCGTTTTTCATGTTCAATTTCCAATTTTCTTTCACATGCTTTTGCTTGAAAAAATGCTGATTTCATTGCTTCACGATAATTTGTTAAAACCATTTTTCTTTGACAAACACGTTCACAATTATCACATAAAAAATATTCATTATTATTTTTATTATCAATACTTTTAAACCAATTTGGTGTATGATCCGTATGACATGTATGACATATCTGTGGTGGTGTTTTTTTGAGAGTTTGATCTTTGACAATTGTTAATACATCTCGACTATCGCTAAATGATGGCCAATTATTGATACTGGCAATATTTGTTTGTGTATCAACGATAATTGGCCATTTTTCAACATAATTTAGAAGAACATCTAAACCTTGAATTTCTAAAAATTCTGTACATCTTGACATTGGAATAAATCGTTGTAAATTATAATAATATTTTGGTGGTGATAATGTTAACAATGTGAATTTTAATTTTTGACGTAATGCAATACGTTTTTCCATTAGATTATTCGATGATTTACTCGATGTTAGCTCATTTGATGATTCAATCAAAATACCATCATCAATGTCAAGCATTTTTATCCTAGAACAGGTTGGTTAATTGCAGGAGTTTATCATTCTAAAACGAAATACGCCTAATTGGCAATTTCAGAAAATTGGTTGTAGAGTAATCTCTTGTTTTTACATACAAAGTATTTCCTATAAGAGAGAAAATTGATTTTATATCTTTTAATTATAGTTTAAATTTTAGAAATGGAATTTATTCCAATTGTATTCTAGCCGAATAAAAACTTAATGAAAAAAAATTTATACGATTTGTAACACAAATTCGAATAACTAGCACCACCATTGATACTATTTTGACATAGATCTTTCATCTCTTAAACAGCCAACATTTTTTTCTTTAAAAAAATGCTAAAGTTGATGTTTGAAAAAGAAAAATCTAGAGAAATACATTTATTCAACTTACCGGTTAATTCGAAACTACTGTTCTTGTCGGTTATGTGTATCATAAAAAGCTGTTGATATTCATAGTAATGATAATGTCTTGAACATTATTTTTTTAAAACAATCTTTTATTGGATATAGGCTAATCAACTATTTCTTTCTGCTTCTATTTTACTAAGTACAATGTAATTGATGGTTTATGGACAACGACAATAACAACGCCACAACTAACCAACATCATACGAACGGCGCCAATAGGAAAGTTTTTGACTGCGCTCTAGACTAACTGACTAGAATATGATACATAATCTGTTACTGATGTTTGCTTTATTATCTGTTTAGATTCATCAGATATTTTATTCATTTAATTATGCTGAAAACTAACAGCATATGGCTTGTAAAGTGTATTATAGTGATTAACTAAAGATAGTTACATGGGAAATTTAATTCAATAAAGTTTGATCAAGAGTTAAGTGTCTGTCGAGACGAAGAAAGATAGAGAGTGAACGGCTCTCATCTTATTTTCACTGGTCTGTGTGTTTCAGCTACGTGGTTTCAGCCATTCTGCATGGAAAAATTGCATGCAATTTCTCGTGTTAAAATTCAAAATATCTGCACTAGCTGGAATCTATCTTGTAAGAACTCTCTGAGATTAAAATGCAGTTTTCAATATTTTTATGCTAAATTCATACTAAAATCTTTCTTAAAAAATTAAAACAGCATCTTCAATGACTATGAGTACGTCTTTTTTCTTAGTCTTTTCCTGTCATTATATTTTCATACTCATCCATTCGTGAATTTTCTTTAGATCTATCTATACGTATAAATTAATTAGAGTCATAAGCAACTTTTTGTCTTTAGAGCAAACATGGACGGGATCAAAAAGTTTTTTTACCAGGACCGATACTAGAACTAAGATTTCTTTTGACAGTTGCATAAAATCAGCTAAATCTTGACCTGTTCTCCATACTTAAATAGAAATGTTGTAGAAAATCGTCAGGAAGTCTTACAGTTCGATCTTATGTAACTAGACACGCACTAGTTATTTTGCTTATATGATCAGAAGGAGAAACATACGGCATACCTCATCCATTAAGCGACAAATAACAGATAACTGTCGATTAGAAAACTCCTGATCTTTCCGGCATTAACAGAGTATTTTTTCCGTGTTAGCAGAATTGCTTTAAGGATCAAACCAGCACCTGGGCCATAAGAACCTTCCGAAACCGGGACGAAACCGAAGCAAATTTACGGGACCAGGAGTGAAAAGCCTTGTTTACGCCCATATCTACTTTAGAGGCATTCTTGTTACTTTTTACAAATAACCCATCTTTTTATTTGGACAAAACTGTTAACTTGACTTGGTATAAAGTTTCAAAGATTAAAACAATGTTTATTGTTGTTCATGATCAATTGACATCTAAAATCTTCCGGTATTATCAACATACATATATTCAACATGCATATATTTTTTGAGTCTAAAGTAGTCCTAGTAATATGATTTAACAATACTATTATTACTAATACGGTTATTCCATCATCATAACAGAGTGGCAGTTTCAAGTGTGCGCATAATTGAATTGAATTAAAAAGATAAAACAGAAATTTGATATCTAAAAATGTACTCGTGTTTTACTCTTATACAATGTTTCATTTTACTTGTTAGTACATGTATTTTCGTTTTAAATGAAAGAATAAATAATATAGGCCACCAACGGAGAAAAAAGTTCACAAAATACAGAGATTCTTTTTCTTGAAAAAAATCGATTTCATTTTTCTTTGTGAAAAAAACAAAAAAATAGAGAAAAAAAGCTAACTGTTTTAGCTTCATAATTTTTGAAAACAGAGTACTTGTTGAGTTGAGTGTGTATAGCATTGATGCTGCAAACATCTGTTTTTAAGCAACGTTGTTTTCAACATGTCTTCTACTGTTTATGCACGATCCAAAACAGTAAGCTATGTCTCTCAAATATCTTTATGTCTTCTATTAAATATTTCAGTTTTGAATGACGTTTAAAAATTGAATTCATGTTTTTATTTCGTTTGGATGATCCTATAAAAGATATTTTTGCTCTATATCTAAAATACCGATATCTCACTTTAACCTGTCAGTTCTAAGCTTTTTGGCTTTTAATATCTTCTTATGTATATTTTTCAGGGCGTTGATTGCACAAAACAGCGTTATAGTGAATTGAGCGATGAGATTCGAGCACAAAACAAACGAGAAGATCGTCTATTAGATTTAAAAATAAAATACTACGAACGTGAAACACGTACCAGATTGACCATGTTACAGAAAGAAAAACATCTATTATTAAAAGTTCGTGATCAAATTGCTAAACGATGGAAAAATATCGATGATCAATCTAAACATTTTAAAACATCATCAATATTAAGAGATCAACGTAACAATTTATTTCATACAGATTCATCGTATTTTCTTTGTTCATCATCAGATATTTATACAGGTTCTGAAGTTCAAGAAGATCTGTTGACACTAAACCAAGAATCAGCTAGTGAAATTATTATTAGTGATAAAGAGTTAAAACATAATGAAAATATTGTCTCAAATAAAATACGACCACATTCTGCCGTTTAAAATACATTTTTTTTTTTATTGTCATGTGAAACTCAGTTTTGTCAAACAAATTTTATTCTAACTCCTATACTATGTACAGAAATTTTTATCATTGATTAGTTTTACAAAATTATTTTTAAAATAACTCTGAACATCAATTATTTCACTGATGAATAGGAACCTTTACAAAATATATCTCGGCAAAAAAGGTCGTTAATGTGGTATAAATCTCATTCAGTGTACTCGTGTCTAAAATAAGAATTACTATTTTCGAGTATATTAGCCGTCAGTGTATATAACAGTTTGTGTTCATGAATCATTTGTTTTATTTTTTATTTTTTTCGTATACATTAAAGCTCATTGCAAATTAATTATATATATTTTGTCTTTTGTTTTCAATTAAGTTCAAACGAACTGTTGTGTAATCAATATGTATCTGTTGAACGAGTTCATGTGTTCATATCTTCTCTCTTGCTATTTTCTCAAACATAACCTTGAACTATACATACTGAATAGATAGATGATCACACGTTCTTACAGTTCCTATGTATATATGTCTATATATAGTTTATATACATGTGCACGGTAAGAAGTTAGTATAATATAAAATAAGAATTTGTAGAAGAGACAGTGATCAAAGATATTTTACTTAAGACTAATAGTGGTGGTGGTGGTAAGTGTAAAGTTTTGGTTTGTTCCTTGATTATATTTGTATTATTTCAAGATCAACTCAGATAGAAAGACTGATTAAAATCTAATAATTTTGTAGAAGAAATCTATAGTAATTCTTCATGATTATTAACTATGAATTTTCTTTTTCGTTTGAAATGATGTTGAAACGTACATAAAAGACCAAAACATCAATACTTGAAACGTATTTCTTAGGCGTTCAAATGATATCCGAAACACGTTTCAAGCATCGATCAAACTATTGTTTGGTCGTATAGATCGTTTCGAATGAACAAAAACTTCATGAGTATGTGATGCATATACTCTTTGCTTTTATTTTAGGTTGGTGCTCTCTTTTTGTAAACTATGTTTCCACATTACACAAATCTCAACACATCCTACGACAGTCTTCACTCACAAAACGAATTTAGTAGAATTGCTTCATTCATCGACTATTCATTTCTTAATCAGCAGTCATTAATAAATAGTTCGTTTTCTCCAAAACAAGACTGCAAATGGCTTCGTGAACAGTCAAGTTTCGGTATTACGAATGATTTTGCTGCAAAACTAAATGTGTCACTTATCAGTCAGCAACATCTCCAATCGATGAATGACTTGTACAATGATGAAAACGTAGCACCATATGAGGATACACATGATGGTACGCTATCGGCTGTGTTACCATCAACCCCAACTGCAACTACACATCGGAAGAAACGTTCACGACCTTATCCAGAAGAGAAAAAAGACGATGATTACAGAGAAAAACGTCGAAAAAACAATTTATCAGCAAAACATTCTAGATCTGTAAGACGATCGAAAGAAAAATACATATTAACACAAGCGACATTTTTAGAAACAGAAAACTCACAATTAAAAGCAGAACACGTTTATTTACGAAGTGAATTACGACGAGTGAAGTGTTTATACAGAATTGATTAATTGTTCTGATATCAAATAGATTCTGATACTAGTGATTATTAATGATAAGATACATTTAGATTCTGTTTTGTCAGACTTGTCCATTGTTACTTTATGCATTGATTTTCATGTTCATTGGTATTAAATTAACACTAATGTTATCTCGTTCAATAAGTGATGCATGCGACACATATGAGTCATTTGCAACTTTATTGTACAATTGAGTTTTTGTCGTATTTTTAAAATTACTCCGGTCTCTGAAAACGGATTTCGAAATTCTTTTTTTTGTTTTATCGCTGTTTGCTTGCTTCACTACCACAGAAAATCTAAGCTTGATATCTCAACAACTCACCCAGATAAACCCAGCAAAAGTCGAAAAAAACGTGTTTTTAGATGAGTTATCGAGAGAAAAGTAAGTTTTTCTAACAAAAGAAGGAACGAAAAGCAAAAAGCAAATAGTACATTTTGTAGAGCATTTAATGCTCTATCAAACTGTGTGCCTTCATGCTTGTTTTGTTTTTTTGTTTATGCTCGTCTATGGCGAAAATTGTTTTACAGACAACTTGTAGATCGAGATAACAATAAAACTGGCACTTGAGAAAACGTTTTTTTGGGAATGTGAGGTGTTCATAAGAAAGAGCAAGGGCAGCTGCATCTAACTGAGTAAAACTGCTTTGTTAAATGTCTTTCTTACCGGGCGAAAAAATGGAAAACAGAGTGTTACGTTCACTTCGTAGATCGAGATTTTCCAACTTTTGACATCCACTGTTTTACAAGGATTTGTCTGACTACAACAGCGTTGACCCACAAGAAAGAGTGTCAAAAGTTGTACAAGTGGTGCAATTTGCAAATCTCTAGAACATACCTAAGTAGGAAAAAATTACAATATACCGCGAAATGTAGATCGAGATTACTCTGAAAGTTTTTTCGGTTCTGTTAGTCAAAAACCAAGTTATAACATCAATTTTGACTCCTTATATTCTGCTGAACCTATCTATTCATAAATTTACGTAGTTTTGATGTCGAGTTTCTCCAAAGTGGCTGACCACCTGTAGGCTACAAGCTTTGCGTTTTATTTTTGAATACACATTCGAAATTAGGGTTTTAACGATCAAACGTTTGCTGTGCAGGTCAGACTAAGTTACATATGGTATGAATCGATAGCTCTCTACGAGACCTATCGAACGGTGTATGATATATCCGCTTTTAAAGCAACCTCGAGATCATTATAGCCTAAAACCTAGAGAACGGAACCTGCCGAAGCTTGTTGAGGTTTATCTCAGTCGCTACGCATGTGGTAGTCGGGAAATTTGGATTCTAGACTCAGAAAACAACGGAGAATAAGATGTGCTAATCAAATTTTGTTTAAAGTCACTTTCATTATTTTTCACCAATTGTACAATAAAGTTGCAAATGACTCATATACACCATATATCCAGATATATGTCATTTTAGTTCATAATGTGCTTAGATACATACCGTCGTCGCCGATCATTGTCGCCTGGAAATCAAGTTTTACTGCTGCTCGTATTTATGTTTGAAATTTATGGATCAACTGACAGTAGTGGTAGTCTACTAATAGTAGACTACCACTACTGTCAGTTGATCCAACCACAGTGACACAGTTTAAAACTGTGTCACTGTTTTCAAATCCTCAGCGATAGAGGGGGCAGTGGTAGCGCGAAGAGGTTGGGAGCATGTAGCATGTAGTAAATCCAAAAATGGGAGTAAGGTCTCCAAAAATAAGCCCCTGACTCTCCGAACTTATGGTGAAGTATAAATAATTGATGAGCATCGCTCATTAAGTTTGCCTAAACGTTACATTCGCTGTAATTTTCTCAGACGTAGGCGGGAAAAAAAATAGAAATAAGTCATCTAAGTCGGTTAAGAAAGCTTCTTCAAAGAGCACATTTAATATCAGTTTTCGGAGAAAGCAGCACTTTAGTATTCGAAAAAACCAAAATCGGAGTAAATCATCCCACAGGTTTCTCCGAAATTCGGAGTAAATCATTCTTATCTTTTCTCAAATTACGAGTAAACCGTTCTTGATTTTGTCCAAAACTGGAGTAAATCACTCTCCGAGTTTCTCCAAAATTGGGAGTAAAGGGCCCATGACTTCCTCCAAAACGGGAGTAAATAGGCCTTGATTTTGTTCAAAATTGGAGTAAATCACTCTCCGAGTTTCTCCGAAATGAGAGTAAATCGTTCTTATCTTTTCCCAAATTTGGGAGTAAATCGTTCATATTTTTAAAAAAGTATGGAGGGGTAACCTCCCGATCTCCCCCGGTCGAACCGCCACTGAGAGGGGGCTGTACACCCTTCCTGCATCTAGGTTTTTTTCTCATGTTTAAAATTTTCTTACATTTTCGTAAGAGCTACATTTATGCAAAATGCTGAATATATACGAGAAGAGTAATAAATCGGTGTGTTAGATGAGAAAATTGGGCTATGCTATCTCTATAACGGCTGAACCAAAAAGAAATCCTTTTGGGACTTCAGAGTTTTAAAGAGCGCTCTTTCTACTGACTGATTCAGAAAAATTTTAAAATGTTTACAAATCGGGTTTGCAGAAAACAGTGGTTCTTTACATAGTGTGTATTCGATCGAATAATTTTTCTCGAGAAATCTGTTCTCTTAAAATGACTTGCAAACAGACTATTTGATGTAGAATTGTATGGACTACATTTTGGAAAAGAAAAGAGTCTTCCAGAGTATATTTTTTTTTAATTTACAAAGTGCAGCGTTGACTTTTGCCCGAAATTTGAAATGTAACAATCAAAAAGTTTCTTTTAAAAGCTCGATGCGGCTGAACTTCCGTTGTTAGTGAAAAGTGCGTCATTACTGAAGATGTAACAATGCATTCTCGATCGCATGACACTGAATAGAAATGCTTCCAGCGTCTTTAGCGGATGAATCAGTACACTGGAATTTTCTTTGTAGAAAACTCAATTTGAACCTGGGCTGAGCAAATTATTGGTGTAAATGTCTATATACGAATTGACTTCTTACCATAGGTGTAACTGGTCAACATTTTTGTCGGCCGGGCCGGTAACCGGTCTAAAAGCTTTGGACCGGACGGACCAGCCAAGTACGGCCGGTCGCCAGCCAATCGATCTGTTTGTGTCTTTTTCCTAGACCGGACCGCGCCGGACCGGTTTAACCCAGCTGATCGTCGGTTACATCTCTGCCTCTTACTATATGAAGTTTTTCATCTCCTACATTAAACGTGTCTGCCGATTTGTTCAACAGATCTGTACAGCTCCGTCACAAATAATTGACAGATTTTCTAAACGTTTCAGTCTCAAGAAATAGTTCTTAAAATGCATATAGAAAAATATTTTATAAATGTAAGCGTATACATAGAAAATTTTCTAATTCTGCAAATAATCTGTGCTTATTTTGCACAAATTGTGTAGAATTTTCTGTTACCGGACTTGTCTAAATTTCACAATGAACCTACAAGCTTATGGTACAATTCTGATTTAGCTTTGTGCAGGTTTTTCTTGCAGAAAGTACCCAGGAGTATCTCTCAAGCTTCAACATCTCTCACTCGGTTGTATCTTTTATTCTGCAGTTTCTTTTTATATCATTAAAAAACTGATTTGTATTGCTTTGATAATGCATAAATTTCTTTGACTTTTCTTCGTCTTTATTGTTGAAAAGAATAGTGGTGTTACCTATGGAAAGATGACGCCAAGCGCCGTCATTCGAATTAATCTTCCATTGAACTTTAAAAACGACAATTTATTTTAGAGGACATGGCTTAGAAATGAGAAATTAAGCGAACTAAATGGTTTGAAATCACTCGAAAATGCTCTTGAGAAATTTAGAGTTCAGAATCGTTTTCTTATTTAAATATTTATCAAATGTTGAGCATATGCAGATAAAACCGAAAGACAATCAATAGCCTTGCACTTATACATAAATACATGAGGTTTGAATCTTGTGCATTACATGTTAGCTTGTATATTATCAGAATTGTTGGGATAGATCCTTTTATTCTTAGTCTATATGTTCTTCCAGACATTCGGTGGAAGCATACAAGTAGTTCTGCTAGATCATATGACTAAATGTTGTCAAGTGCACGGAAAACTCTTTCATTACGTAATAACTGTCGTCTCTTTGAACTGTCGCTAATAGCTACTTAGGCGATGTTTGTTGTCATTTTCTCCTCTGTATCTCATACAGCGATCATTTATTTTCTCTTCTTTAGATTGGCATTTGGCGATCGTCCATGCGAACATCAACTTATGATATTTAACAATCAGTTTTATGTTTATGCGATATTTTTTACTTTATTTCAACTTAATTTGCCAAAATAAACCTGTGGCAAACACAGAAAACCTTGTTGTTCGAAAATAAGTCACATCATGTCTGACGGTGTAGACAGTCATATATTGAGAAGTTACGATATTCAGAAACGTTTAGGCAAAGGCGTAAGAATCTAAATCAAAATTTTGTAAGCTTTTAACGTTATACTCACGTCTTCAGGCATATGGTATTGTCTGGAAAGCAACCGATAAAAGATCAAAAGAAGTTGTAGCATTAAAAAAAATATTTGACGCATTTCGAAATCAAACAGATGCTCAAGTGAGTATTGAAAGTCGACAATATATTTATTTCACTATTTAAATTTTTTCTCATTTTTCTAGAGAACCTACCGTGAAATCGTATTTCTACGTGAATTTGGTGAACATCCGAATATCATTCGTTTACAAAATGTTCTTCGTGCCGACAATGATCGTGACATTTATCTTGTTTTTGAATTTATGGGTAGATACACAGACCACTGTCTTTATTTCATGTTCAATGATCAGATAATCATAGACTTTTATCAATGTTTTTTTATTTAGAGGCTGATTTACACAATGTAATTCGAAAGGGAACTATTCTCAAAGATACACATAAACGTTATGTTATGTATCAGTTATTAAAAGCTATGAAATATTTACATTCTGCAAATGTTATTCATCGTGACATGAAAGTATGTTTTGAGAGTCTGTTGTTATTAATCCAAATCTATTTGTATATCATTTTTTAGCCATCCAACGTTCTTATAAATCAGCAATGCAGAGTGAAATTGTGCGATTTTGGACTAGCAAGATCACTTAATTATGTGTACGAAGATGTTCAACATCCAGCGTTAACAGAATATGTTGGTAAGTATCAAAATCCATGTTTTAGAGGATGTTATTGTGAGTGTTGTCTTCGAAGAACTAAAAAAGTTAATTTCGATTATTTTTCTAGCAACAAGGTGGTACCGAGCACCTGAAATTCTTCTGGCATCATCCAAGTGAGCTCAGTCATCTAATAGTCTCGATTGATATAACGCTGAATGTTTGCTTTATTTTCAGATATACCAAAGGTAAATTTCGTAAAAACGAACTTCCTATTATTAATTGAAAGTGTTATCTATAATAGGTGTCGATATGTGGTCTATTGGTTGTATTCTGGGAGAAATGTTACTTGGAAAACCGTTATTTCAAGGAACGTCTACGTTTAATCAGTTAGAAAGAATATTACAACATATCGCTTCACCCAGTCAAGCGGGTATGTTAGAGAAAGACTCTTCCACATCTTGTCAGTTATTTTATCGTTCTTCCAGACATAGCCTGTATATCGTCACAATATGGACCTTCAGTTCTCGAAAGAGCAGCGGCAGGGTAATATCAAATATATAGTTTCTTACACTAAAAAAACTATCTGTTTCAGACCGAAAAAATCATTAGATAATTTAATACCAAGTGCCAATGATGATACTCTGGATTTACTCAAGAGACTTTTACATTTCAATCCAGACAAACGTATAACAGCCGAAGAAGGTTTACGTCACAATTACGTGATCTCGTAAGTGAACGCTGATGTATGAAAAACATTGTAAAATAAAATATTTCTTTAGATTTCATAATCCAAATGACGAGATGATAAAAGGCTACGATGTTGTTCCACAATTAAGTGATGATATTCAGTTAACTGTAGAAGAATACCGAAAGAAATTATATGAAGTACACTTCAAAGTGTAACAACGATAATATACAATTAAATATGATCTATATTTTAGCTAATTCAATTACGAAAAGTATCAGCTAAACCGGGAAATGTTGTGTCAAATCATAACTCAAATTCCGATGTGGGCATTGTTAATCGTACTACTAACGTTATTCAACCGACTCGTTCCGTATATAGTGCATCGGAAAATAATAATAATAACGAAGTTATTGCGCAACAGGCACAGTATCACGGAACAAGCGCTTATATTGATCAGTCCGAGTACGATTCATACAAAAAACATATATCCAACACACAAACAACAAAGCCATCGACCAATAATAATCATAATAGTAATTACAATAGTGAATCAACATCTTCTGTTATACATGGACGATCGCACGCTAATAATACTAACAATGATGGATTCAAAAATAGACAAAGACAATATACAAACGATGTGGATGAAGATTATACAGAAAATGTTGGACAATATTCCAAAGGTCCTACTCCACCTTACTCATGTATGTCGTATTCACTCTAATAAATAAAATTTTCAACAGAAATTTATTTCCTTTATAGCATTATTAGGACGTTCACACAGTTACAATGGAATGAGTTCAACTCAAGGACAGACAAGAGTTTTAAGTACAAAACAACGAACAACATCCAATTCAAATATAACATATCAAGTAAAGCTTTGAGTTTGCTTCCAAAAACCTCTTTTGCTATGCTGTTGAGAATCTAACCGTATAAGTTATGAGCTTTTTTTTAGAACTCAAGAAACTATAATGATTATAGTTTAACTGTTTTCGTTATAGAAATCAAGTGCGGCTGCTATCCGTGAAAAATCAGCAAATCGTGGATATCGTTCTGGTTCAGCACCAACGCCCACACCTCCACCCAAAACTTCTGGATATTATTCAAAACGACCAACCGTTGTATTTGGTAGTGATCCAGAGAGAAATGGTACACAAGCAAACGTCAATAATAAATTTGTAAGAAATGTACTGTCTCGAGTTAGATTATGGCGACAAAATAATTCAACAAAATAATGAATTATAATAACGAACATCCACGTATATGGAATTTTCCTATTCTAGATTGCTAATCTTCGACCGAACTCAGCCGATACAAGGTCTAAAAATCGTTTTACTTCTACGCAAACAAACTCAGCATCGAATGGAAGTAACGGCTATTTACAAAATTCATCATCGACTTTTGGATTCTATTCAAATCAATCTGCTGCAAGGCGGCCACAGGCGAATTATAATAATATGACATCATCGATGGCGGCTAGAGATAATCTTGGCGGCTATAATCAAGCGAACGGAACAATTTCACAAAATGGTTTACGAGTTCTAGATGGATTACTCCATCATCCGTCTTAACAAATATCTTTTTTTTATTTATAATTTTTCTTATTATTCGTAATATTATTTTTACACCAAGCATCAAATGTTTGCCTGTCATATCTCTCTAAAGGTACGACAATTTTATTTTTATTTTATTGAGGAATCTATCTTTCGATCTAAATTTTGTATTTTTATAACTTTCATTCACAATCACTTGCTAAATTACACCCTCGATAATATGAGCTATTAGTATATTTTGACTTTTTTTTGCAAGTACAAATAACCTCTTCTTTCTAATTCCAATATCATTTTTGTTACTAATGACTTGAGACATTTATATCTGTAATAGTTGAAAAATTTGTTGAAGTTTTTTATTTGTTCATTTTTCTCTTTTTTCCACTTGTTTGAAAATCTATATGGAACTATCAACTAAAGTATACTATGTTTATTTGATTAACAATCTGTTCTTTTTTTTTCCTTACATATAAAGTGGGTAATGAACGTTTTTTTCCCTCAAATGCATTTGTTTTTACGATAGAAAAGAGATCTTTAACTGTTTTTATCATGTTCATACTATTTGTGTAAAAAATTCATTTTCTTGTGTATGTTTCAAAGTAAAATAATATGAAACTGAATAAAATTTTTATAACTATCAATCAAGAGTAGACTATTAGTGCGATTAGTTTACGATGTACTTACATAATTTATTTTGAGGTGTGTCGTGATTGTCAAGGCTTTTTTTTTGTTACTAGGACTTTTTTGTTGCTGTCTACTACGTTGACTCATTTTCTTGCGTATCACGAGAGGCAATATTTTCCACCCTTTCACCATGTCTTTCATCTTTGATGTCTTTTCCATCAACCATTGTCCACTTTCGTTGGATAAGATCGTATTTTGCGTGCGGAACAAGACCCGTTTCTGCATTAGATTTGTGTTGAGGCACTTTAGATGAAATAACGAGAACGTTATTATCAACAGCAAATATATCTATTTTTTTCAAATTTGGTATCGTTGATAAAAATGTCCACATTTCCTTCTTATTATTATAACATATAATTTCGGGTACTGGTTGAAGTTCACCACCATCTCTATGATATCCACCACAAGCAAATAAACCTAAACAAAGTTATTTCTCAACAAGTCTAATGGGAAGTATAGCTCCTACTTACCTCCGCTAGGTGGTATCACATCTTTGGCACATGCAACTAATAGTGTTCGTGCGCGCGGAGAAATGGCTTGTTTTATACGATTAATCACTATTGTATTTTTCAATTGTGTCCATCTCAAAAACAAAAACAAATAACTGAACAGAAATTTTTTTTTATGCAATAAAATCACTGTAGAAAGACATATACTCTTTTGAACGTAGTTCATCCAATCTTAGAAAATCATTACAAAAATGTGATTCTCCTGACATCAGATCATATCCACCCAATACATAAATGCTATCATTATCATCAATAGTAACAGCCGAGCCACACAATGGATTTGGTAGTTTTGGCAATAATTCCCACTGATCTTCGTTCATTCCATACAAATAACACATTGCTGTAGGTTGATTTGAAATTGTATTGCCACCAATGACAATCACTTTACCTTGATGAACAGAAAATTTTTTAAACATTTCATAATTTTATTTCCTAATTTATCTACCATTATTAGCTGCCAAACCAAAATTTATTCTTCCACCTATAAAGAATAAAGATTAATTCCTTCTTACAGTAAAATCTTAAAATTATACCTGGTATTGGTTGAATTTTTTCCAGTTTTTTCTCTGCAATATCCCAACGCCAATCATTCGTTGGAACTCGACGTTCTTTTTTTAATGGATCAAACAAATATCCACCGATAATAAAGACGTTAGCCGGTAAATTAACAAAATAAGCACGTTTTCTAAGTTCGATGCCTCGTAAAATTTCGCTCAATTGAGTATTTATTTGATCCAATTCAACATCGCCTTCAATAAAAAATGATATAATTCAAAGTAGAAGAGCAAAGTTATTGTACATACTTGTTTCATTATCAGCTGAAGATATGGCATTAATTGTCATAAAGTCTTCAATTTTTTCTTGACGAACATCTTTAATAAAACCATACTACGAAAAAAATATTTGTATAATAATAAAGTTGAATGCAATCAATGTTCTAATAGTTAATTACATATCATCGAATCATGTCTGAACTTTTTTTATAACTTTTTAAAAAAAATACATCCTCTATATGATGCTTAAAGACGAAAAGTCAAAAAGTAACATAAGAATTCTATTAAAAACTCACATGATCATGCAAACGATATTTCTCTAAATATAAAGTTGTACATCGATGATAAGGTGAACAAAACTTTTTTGTATGAGCTATCGCATTTGACTTCATTGTTACTCTACAGAAACTCAATCGATTATGGTAATTTAGAACATAAATTCGTCGTGTATAACAATCGACAAAGCAAGACAAAAATGTAACATTACAATGAGATAAATAAAATAAGTATTAGGCAAAATTTTAGGATAGTTCAATATCCATTCATGCATTAATTTCTATGGTTACAAGCTAAAAATTACTTAAATTGGAATTCACAAGAAATCTGTCCACTATAAAATAGACAAAAATACAAGGGAGAAAAAGCATATTTCTGTACATCTCGGTACTTCTTGATACTTCTGCGTACTTCTCCGTACTTCTGAAGTACGAAGTACGAAAGGGGGAAAAGCGTATTTCGTACTGCGTACTTCAGAAGTACGGAGAAGTACAAAAAAGTACAAAGAAGTATCAAGAAATACGGAAAGTACCGAGAAGTGCAGAAGTATGCTTTTTCCCCCTTGCAAAAATACCAGAATACCGAACCAGATATACAATCTATAGAGCTAAGTTAATGACACTTTGGTGATGAATATATTTTAAGGCTACATGATTTTTTTGGTTGTGAAAGTCCTTTCAGAGTACTGTAAATCCTTGACGGCTGTTCATCTTCGATAGCTGCTCACGGATCCAGTTAAATCCACTAGGAAAGGCATCGAAAGATTCGATGGTTTTTGTTTGATTTAGATTTGCCATACATCAATCAAAAGCCCCGTTGATGCTTTTTCTGGCCGCGAATATGTCAGCAATTTTACCGACATATGAGAAAAAGATAAAGAGAAGTGATAATAAACACAAAATTTAAGGTGGGTCCGGCTGGACCCCCAAACAACTGTCAAGGGTTAAGACAGATTGATTTATTGTTTTACAATTAATAAAAAGTTGTTATTATCCTATTTGTAATTAAATAGTTTTATTCATTCAAAAAATATCGTTTAAACACCCATAGATATTTAAGTAGCAAAAAAATGCTCAAAATAATTCAGATAAAAATTGATCAATAATAACAGAATAAACGGAATGTTAAATGATACGGGATTAACAGAAATAGCATATTATAACCATAATAATTAGTATTTCATCTTTTAAATGAAGAATCAAACACTGTATTGTATTGTAAACTTTAAGTAACATCTTGTTTTATCTTAAACCTAGAATGACTATTTAGTTCTATGAACTTACTTCTCAAAACTTATCACCTACAATTTTATTAAGTTATCACAAAGAACATATATTTTATGAAAGATTTTAGTGCTTGTATTATTTCAAATTTTCAGTGCTAGCTACTCTTCCTCCTCGAAATTGTGTAAAAACAACGGGCGGTCTATTCTGTATTTCTGCATAAGCTTGTTTATTATAATTATGATTTGCTCTCAAAGGATATTGTGGTGATGGAGCATTTAAAACCGACATCGATGAAGAACGTTTCATATAACTATCATCATCGGTGGTTCCGCGTAGTTTTTGTACCAATTTTTCACTTCCACGTTTAATTGATGCTCTTAATCTTTGAAATGACCCACTTCGATGTAATCGTCCATATTCACGCTCGGCGCCCGATACCGGCGGTTGTGTTCGATTTCGTCTTGTTGTATCGTCATAACGTAATTCATCATTGATTCGTGTTCGTTGAATAACATCGAGTGCATGCATGATGGCTTGCGGATCTCTTTGTACTCGAATAGCACATGTTTCCAACGCATCGGCATGATCGAATAAACCCTGACGTCTATATAGTACGCCCAGATTTTTTAATGTCGTTGTCACTGTGGATGGATCAATACAGTTTCGTCCTGTTTGACTTTGAGATAAAGATTTTTGAGTGAGTTTTTGATCAGTATCACGTATTTGTGCTTCAGACAGTACTTCTTTGTACAGTTGTGCGGCTGCTTTATATTTGCCTTCTCTCAAATAAGCACTTGCTAAATTATTTTTTGTTTTAGCCACATTTGGATCATTATTTCCATAGTGTTTTGAATAGATAGCAATCGCACGTTTATAATAAATTTCAACCATATCATATTTACCTAGAAGAAAGCTTAGAGTATAAAAGCTATAATGTAATCTACCAGTTATTTACCTTGATTAAGGCATAATAGTGCAAGATTATTCAATTGTCGTCCAACATCCGGATGATCACGACCAAACACTTTTTCACGTATTTCCAATGCTCGTTTACACAATGGTTCTGAATGTATAGAATAAGGAAAAAATTGAAGACAAAAAGGAAGTACTTTTATTACCTGCATCTTTATAACGGTTTTTTTTCCCATATAGAACGGCAAGGTTATTAAGTGTAGCCGCTACTGCTGGATCTTCAGGTCCTAAAACTTTTTCTCTGATAGCTAATGCTTCCTGTAGCAGCGATAAAGCTTCTTTAAACTTGTTTTGATCGCGATAAACGAGTGCCAAAATATTTAACATTGTGGCCATGTCCTGGTGATCGTGTCCGTGTGTTTTTTCAATGTCTTCGAGAGCCTGTCGGCAAAGTGGCACAGCCACTTCATATCGACCAGCTGACGCGTACTGTATCACTAAATTGTGTAGTGTACGAAATCGAGCTGGTGCCTCCTGGAAAGTTGAGTTCATATGACTTATACCAGACACATCCGAATAAGAACCGAAACGTTTCATATTTGTCCCTTGAGAAGTATCACAAACGCCTGTGGTTTCTTTTGAGGACAATAACGAATCATCTGTTCTTGAACTCGAATTTAGATCAAATTCCTTGTCGTCGATCGTGATTGTCGATGGTGACGAAGGTAATTTAACAATCGATTCGTTTAGTTCTTTTATTTCTTTTTCTAATTCAACTTTTGTCGATGTGCTTTGTTGAAGATGCTTTTCGGTTGACGATAGTTCATCTCGTAGCCAACTGTTTTCTTGGTTGAGGCGCTGTACTTGCAAAAGTAATTTTTGTGTATCAGATTCAAGATTTTGTAAATGATTATTCAGTTGTACCATGACAAGAGCTACAATAAATAGTTGGTCATTTTTATAGGGCTAAGAAGCATCACATTATACCTTCGCCAATCCCCAAATCAAGTGAATCCAATGACTGTTTTAATCGAGAATGTTTAGCACCATTCTTTTCCAAATCATCTGATGATTTTATTGTTGTAGAGTTAATCAATAATGTATGTTCTTGACGTAATGTTTCTAGTTCTTGAATGACAGAACGAGTTGTATGTACAAAATCTAGACGCTTTGGAGTGGTTGATTGTCCACCGGTCTCTACCGTGGTGGTTGTTGCTGGCACCGTTTTGGTCATATTATGCTGAAAAAACTCCCGGAAAAATAAACAAGAGGATCAGTTATTTATCTAAAATATCACGAATCAAACCCTTTGGTATGTCGACAGGCAAGTGATTTTGAAAGATTCGTGAAAATACCTTTTATAGAGAAATGTTCGAATTTTTTGAAAGTTAAGATTATGTCAGACTCTGTCAGAACTCTGTCAGACTATGTCAGAAACTCGATTGCAGAAAACGAGAATTGTCCATGGTTATTAACTGAAATACTCGAAAAAGTGTACATGCAGGCCTTCAGTGCTTGCTCACACCCTTTCGCTATGCACTTTATTTATTTCTACTCAGCAGATATGTGAAGTTGATAAAAGTAAAAATTTAAACTTTTAAATAATGAGAGCGATGTAGTCTATATACATCATACACCACAGAAAAATTTATTTAGTAAGAATGGGACACTGTACTTTCCTAAACGAGATCATACGTTTTCTTGTCACTTGTTGTACACTTGCAAAATCATAACAAGAAATTTCATGAACTTACACGATTTTGAGAAGATCATGGAACTAGAACTTACCGCAAGATCTCATAAAAAAAGACAGGTCTTGTATGGTCTGGTGAGATGAATTTCACCTAAACATATGTGGTGGACTGACACTCAGACAAGAATTAGAGTAAATGTTTGATGCATTTGTATAGTAAAAATGCCTTAGAAGTAGTGTAAATGCGCAACGAGTTTCATGTTACATATTTCCATGGGGTTTACTGTGATCACTATCAATCTATCGCTCATGTGTACGAAACTTAGTTTTTCGAAGTTTCACATAGAGCTGAATTTTACTTCGTCTCACGGGATTGATCAAGAGTACTGAAAGAACTTTTTATAGCTATTTATCCGTATAACTGAGTTTCTATATGTCGCAGTCATGAATAAAGCCTATGAGAACCTTCTATACCGTTGTTTTCCTCATACAATTTTACTTTTTATGTGACATGATAGATAGTTTTCTGAAGACATTTCCGCATAGTAGGCCAATTTCCGTTGCGTTCCTAAGGAACGATTATATGAAGTTTTTATTCTATCTCTTACTTCAAAGAGAAGAATTCTGCTATTTCGTAAAATACATAACACCATTATGTAGAGATGAAAAGTTTTATTCTTCAAAAACGTTCTAAAAAACTTTATTTCCTCTTCTAGCAGCATCGCACCAATGGAAAGATTCTGTTATGTTGTCCGTCGTATACTTCAAATGTACTGTTTTGAACCTCGGAGTTGTTAGATTCGTGTAATAACCTTGGGCAAGTTACATGTCTTAGTGTTTCGGATCACCCGTCCTACGACATGCTCACTATGTTGTGACGTACAATACAGTTCCTCTGGCTAGTTCGCGTAGCTTTTCGGAAATTGTTTAGTAAGTGTATATGAGGATCTCAGGTGATTGGGCCCCGCATTACACCGCTAACGGTAGGCACAAAGGAGAGGTATTCTTCTCCTTTTCATGTATCTCTGATTCCAAACCCTGTTAGATGTGGCTCACTATATCTGATGTGCCCATATTTTGTTTTTCGCTCTCATTAATAAGTAATTAACATTTCTTCTATTATTATAATTTCTTAATTATCCTTCACGAACCAAAGCCCAGTACGCAATTTTTTTCGTCTCGTCAGTCGTCAATTTTTTTTGTAGGCTTTACAAGCTTGCCGGATACAAAAGATGCAACCCATCAAATTTTATTTTTTGTATGGGATTACCTCAAAACGGACGATTCTATCTGTCTTGTTCCTATACAAAATCTTTTCTCGCATCCACAGAATAAGAAGACGATCGCCATTATTGTTTTAGAAGTGTACGAGTTGTTTGATTTACACAGAAAAACTTGCTTAAAAATCCTTTTTTGTCCTCTACCAATGAATCAGGACCAATAAGAAGCCTATACATTTGCACCAAGAACAGATGAGTTCAATATAAGCGATGGTTTTTCCCAAAGATCTCTTGAAAGACAAAAAACCTTTACTTTTCACTAACGCTAATATTCCTACCTGTACGATGTCTGCATAGTTTGTGTCCCCAGTTGGGAGTATCAGGGTAAAGGTGAAAGCATAATAAGAAAAAATCTCATTTTTTTGTTCTTCAAAACAAAAAAATACTTACGAAGTCTCGCCGCGTCCTAGCCGAGTTCTAAAAAGCCTCCTCGTATTTCAATCATCTGTGTCATAATATCGTAGTACCTGACAAAATTTAGTTTCGTTTTCTCCTCTTTCATATCACTTCTATTTTTTTCGATCGTATACGGTTTAAAATTAATTTTAATATTTCCTTTCTTCTCTCTTTCTTTCACTGTTTGTAGATGAATTTTTGCAATACGTTAACGAATAAAAATTTTCACAATACTGATATTGAACAGATGAAGAATGCTCAACGCTTGTTTGTTTTAAAATATAGAGTATAGATCAACTATTTTTTATCAATACATTCCTTCATATGTATATGCAGAATTTATTGAACAGACCAGTTTGACCATTCGATCAATGATCATCAACTAGTCAAAAACGAAAAAAGCATTATCAGTATTTGTATGCTCCATACATCAGTTGAGGGCGGAGGAAAATGAAGAGAAAAAAAACGAGACTGTCTTACTCTGCTCTTTCTTTCTTATGTACACATACACACATAGACACATACACATTTCCAAATTATTTATTCAGTGCTGTATAGATATATCTAATGATGAACACGAAACAAGACGAGAAAAGAAGAAGAAAAGGTAGTAGTAGCATTATTAGAGGTAATTTGTAACGTGTATGGTATTTATCTTCTATATATAATGGTGCCAATACTAAATTTACATCTGCAGAATGTTTTCCTTTTTCTTTCTTATTTTATTCAAGATAACCTGCTCGCCAGTGTGTCAGCTGTTGTATGACTAGAATTTCAAATCAATTTTTCTTTTTGTTCTTCATGGAAGGGGAACGAATGGAGAATTTTTTTTGTAACCTCTGAGGACGATTCATCATTATACTCGTTTACGACTAGTTCATTCATTTAAAATCAGTTTAGTTCATGAGAACAGAAGAAAAAAAGAAAAAAAAATATGATTTGCTCTTTCACTTGTTGTTGCTTGAAAAGTCGCTTAAAGGTGCACAGCGGGGGTGAAGAATTAAATCAAAAATGGAATTTACATTTTTTTTATTTACGCATTTTTGGTTGATCAATATTTGACCTCGAACGACTCCTTTATATTTGCATAAAAAGAGAGAGAGAAAAAAAATAGGTGTCTATTTCCTCTTATTACATTGATAAAGAAAATACAAAATGACCAGTATGTGTATACAGACCTGCTTCAGACTAGTGCTTACATCGTTTAGTTATGTCCATCTTTAACAAAACGGTGAACTTATATGCCAGTCATTACAAGTGTCCATTGACGAATATTGACAGACATCTTCTAGCCTAACTCCAACTCTCTTTCATCTCTGCGGTGCTTTTTAGTAATTCATTCGAAGAACTATGGAAGTACAATCTTGTCATATCTTATACGACTCGTATCATATCAAAAAAATATATCTTTTCCGTCCTTTGCCAGAAAATGATCATCACTTGTGAACAACATAACATAGATGGTTATTTTTTTCTCCCCGTTTAGAGAAAAAACAATTCGCATGATCGACGTGGATATACGAAAAAATTCATTTACTTTTTCTGTTCTTTTTACCTGTTTATTTCTTTTACATAGCAAGAATAAAACCACATATTGTCTAATCGATTTTTAACGATATAGATGTAACATATTTTTTACTGAAATACTAGTTTTTATCATATACAATTTGTGTAAAATCAACGCCACAATGTGTTGTTTCTATGATCATAAAATGTCAATAACTAAATCAAACCAAACTCATAATCGTATCCCATATGAAAAGGAAATTCACTTGTCACCGTCAAACTGATAAAAACTTTTGTTTCGCAAATTGCAACCATAATGTAAAATCAAGATAATCGAGAAAAATGTCTGCGGGTGTGAAAACAGAAAGATTTTTTGGAGAAAAATAATTAAAATAGCATTCTGTTAATAAAATATTTTTTAGAAAAACATTTTTCGCAGTGATTTAAAGCACAAAATACGGCATGATGATTCACTGTGAATAATTTATTTTAATTTGGCAAACTGACAAATTACAAAATAGGTTAATAATAAAGATTTTTTTCGTATAATGATTGTTTTTCCAGGCCTGAAGTTGTGAAAGTAGATTTAAATGTAGGCTTGATAAAATATTTTCTTCCAACAGAAATTACGATCTATAATTGTGATAGATAATTATCTTTATTATTTTTTTATACGTATATCTTAACTATATCTAACAAAATAAAAACCTAGATTATAAAACTAAGTTGAGAGGATAAAACTTTAAGATATTTAGAATTGAAGTATGAAGAAATCAGTTTGATTGACAAAAATTTCGTTGAAAGAAACAAAAGTGTATACGTTGTTCTTTACTTTATTCATACGTTTTCTTATCAGTTTTCTGATATCAAAAAATTGAAACAAATAAAACTATAAAAACATAAATAAATAAATTCATATTATACAGTGTCGTCTAATTCATTTGTCAAAACACTTTTAACAGATTTTCTACATAATCCTCTGTTGAAGTTTGCCAATACTCTTTATGTATAAATCATCGGCTTCTTATTTCGATATTCGAATGTAATTTCAGTACATATTTCCATATTTAAATAGAGTCAGATGGAGTAATTCCGGCCACTTGCACAAAGTTTCTTAGTATTTTGCGTATTTCTAAGGCGTTTTTAATCGGATAAGCGTGCTATTGAATATGAAGATGGAACTAACAGTTCTCTATCCGCTGATGTAAAAATTTCCTAAAAATCTCTCTCCGTTTTCGACCAATGTTCAAAAGAAGACACATCCAAATACACGGAGTTTCCTGAAACAAACCTCTGGTACTTTTCAGAAGTAGATTTCTGACATACTCTTCAGGTAAAAGGTATTCGTCATGTCATTAC